GGGAAAATCTGTTATTAAGCCACTTAGATGACCATGGTTAACATCTTAATATATTTTTCTAGGCTTTCCTTTATGCATACATAGTGTGCATGTACATAACTTAAAATACATGCTTTTTTCAAAAGCACCATACTTTATATTGTTTTTGAATGCCTTCTAGTTTTACAGCCACCCAGCTCTGTATATGATGAACAGTTCCTGAGACTTCAAAATGCTCTGTAGTGAAGTCTGTTCTTTAGAAAGGAGGCTTTTGAGTCTGGGGGCCAGACAGTGGAGGTGTGGGGAGAAAGGCCTGGGGGTAGAACAAGATGAAAATTTTCTTAGTGAGCCATCATACATTTTTGAGTAGCAGAGGTTCTTTCAGTAACACGTTGGCAAGAATCGGTGAATTGTGTACTCACCTACTGCCCTGAGTAACTTTTTGGATTGTCTTTTCATTAACTTTTTCTGGAAATACACAGTTTCAATGAATGTTTTCTATACTGTTTCCCTACCCCATATATTCAAGAGTACAACTTGCTTGTATGTATGATTTCTAGTGTGAATGCCTGTTCAAACAGTCCCCTTGTTTGCCAGTGTTTGTAACTAAAATTCAAAAGTCAACAGTCTTCATACCCACACAGTAAAGTTCTCCTAGTGCAGAAAGACACATAATGCCCTAAAATGGAAGATTGAGTTATAACAGGAACTATTTTGAAGAAGTTTAACAATAAGTTAAATAACATTTTAACTCTAGTATTAAGTGTTTGAATTAGGAAAAATAGCACCACATAGGTTATTCCCTAATGAACCTTGTAAGGCCAGTGACTAATAGACACTGTTAATCCTACAAGTTAGTAATAGTCATATTTCCACATACATCTCAGGTCCACAGATGATAATTTCCTTTGTCCCTCTCCATACTTGCCAAACTTCTGGTTTTTAAACACAGAAGCTAGACTGTGTCTTTTATGAACTTTCAGACTATTTAAATAACTTGTCCATTTTCTGACCCACTCCACCCAGTTTGGCAATTGATATGTAGTCCAGTATTGCTTTCTGTTTTGTTTCTTGTCTTTGTGGGTTTTGTTTAGTTTTGTTTTTTGAGACAGAGTTTTGTTCTTGTTGCCCAGGCTGGAGTGCAATGGCGCAATCCCAGCTCACTGCAACCCCCACCTTCTGGGTTCACGCAATTCTCCTGCTTCACCAATCTGTGTGGTTTTTGTTGTGTTGGTTTTTTTGGTAGGTTTTTTTTGTTGTTGTTTTGTATTGTTTTTAGACAGAGTCTTGCCTTGTCACCCAGGCTGGGGTAGAGTGCCGTGATCATAGCTCACTGCAATGTCAAACTCCAGGGCTCAAATGATTCTCCTGCCCCAGCTTCTCAAGTATTTAGAGCTACAGGTGCATACCACCATGCCCAGGTAACTTTTTTTTATTATTATTTGTAGAAATGGGGTCTTGATATATTGCATAAGCTGGTCTTGCATAGGCTGGTCTTGAACTCGTAGCCTCAAACGATCCTCTTCCCTCAGTCTTCCAGAGCTCTGGGAGTACAGTTGTGAACCACCATGCCCAGCCTAGTTTCTTATCCTGTCATCTGGATTTTAAGTGTCTTGTGGGAGGAAGGTAATTGTAATGTTTTTGTTTGTCCTTGATAGCATTTCACAGATATTGGGACATAGGAGGTGATTTATTTCTTAATTGATTGACTTTTTTTAACCTAAATTTTAATCTCAGCTTCTGTCACCTTTCCCCCATCACCAGGCCTTAGGTTCAGATTTCCACATGTAGTAGAAGCATAGTTATATGGATCTGGAACAATGATTCAGTAAATTGAATAATCAAGACTTAGATGTAGTTTACATACATACTTGTTATTTGTAAAATGTAACACTTTCTTCTTCTTTAGCAATGTCTCATTTTTTAGCTTAACTTGAACTACCACATATCTAATGGAAAACAGTAAGAATTATTGATCTTGGGGGCCAGAGACCAACGTTCTAAATATAGCTAGCTGTATAAGCCTGAGCAAGACACTTAATTCTCTACCTACTTTTCTCGCATGTCAAATATGGCTACCATTTCTAGGGTATCTGATATGTGCTAGGCATTTTCTGTGTCCTCAGTGACTCTCTAGGTTAGGTGGGTAAGGTAGGTGTATACTCATTACTGTTTTATAAAAAGAGAAAACTGAAACTCTTAAAGGTCAAGTAACCACCTGACATTACACTCTGGTCATGGCAAAACTTGCACTTAAATCCAGGTTTTTCTAGTTCCATTGCTTGTGTTCATTCCACAAACAAAGAGGAATTAGATGGCATCCAAAATCACTTATGGCTTCCTGCTGTTTTTGCTGATTCAGTGGCTGTACCTTATTTTTAGTCTTTAGCTCTCAGAACTTTTTTTGTCATGACTAATCACTAATTTAGGAAATTAATCTCAGAATTTTAAACCATTCTTGAAATGAATACAAGATTAATATATCATACCTATGGAAAATTCTTCTCAAACCAGGTAAATATATTTGAAAGTCACAAAACAGCAGCAGTAAATATGGATTTGTGTAAAGAAACCAGAAAAGTGAATAGGGGTTAGGACTTATATTGAGGAAAATTTGATACTGTTCTTTCTCCATGTTAAATTCTTTCCTGGGTCATATTTGTGGTTTTATTTTTCTTGAAGCCAGCCTTATTTTTTATACTTTTTTTCCATTGTATCTTTCTTACTTTACTGAAGATATTACTCTAAGGAATTTACAATAAAATTTTGAGAGGAAATTTATGAATTCCAAATGCTTATTGGTAGTTTATTTTGGATTTTAACCGTGAAAGATTAATTGCTTTCTGGATAAATCAGAGTAAACTCCAGGGTGACTTGCTAACTTTGTTGTCAGATTATTGCACTGATGTTGGCTGTCTATGAAAAAGTAGAGAATGTTGACTTAGTATTAGTCTGACAGCTCTGTAATGATATAAATTTTAGAGGAGCAAGTAAAACCCCCTTCTTCATTATTCTCTTCTGTGGCTGCCATAAATAGAACTCTTAACTTGCATTATTGTGTACAAATTCTGTATGTATGTATATTTATGTATTTGTAGATAAATACATTTGTGCATCTGTCTATGAGATGACTAATTTGGCCCAATCTGGAGCAATATCACTGTTTGAACTAATATTGCAGTTGATTTGTGTCAAATCATCAGAGGCTGCATCTTTGTAAGGAAAGTTTTAAATAGCTTAAACTTCAAGAATTAAAAAGTACTACTTCTGACCGGGCACAGTGGCTCACCCCTGTCATCCCAGCACCTTGGGAGGCTGAGGCGGGTGGACCACCTGAGACCAGGAGTTCAAGACTAGCCTGGCCAACAAGATAAAACCCCATCTCTACTAAAAATAGAAAAATTAGCAGGGCATGGTGGCACATGATGATAAGCCCAACTACTCAGGAGGCTGAGTCATGAGAATTGCTTGAACCTAGGAGGTAGAGGTTGCAGTGAGCCGAGACTGTGCCACTGCACTCCAGCCTGGGCAACAGAGTGAGACACTGTCTCAAAAAAAAAGGATTACTTCTGTAATTATACTTACCTTAAAATTTATTTAAAAGCAATCATCTATAGTATTTTTATTTGCAGCTTGATTTACTAAGATTAGGATTATATTTATTATTATAAACATCTCCTTCCCCCCCAAAAATAAGATTATCTATTACAATGTTTAGTGTTTGGGATTGTTTTCTAAGGCACTAGCGTCACAGTATTTGTTTACTTAGATGTTAGTTTTGCACTAAAACTGGCTCATCTTGTTTTATTTTACATGTTCTCAAAAATTTTTTAGAACTAATTTCAGTGTATATTACACTATGCTCTTGTGTTAATTGACTATATTTCCAATGGAGAAAGAACAAAATCTTAATTACTGTGTATAATATTCTGTGTCTGACACAAAGTAGGTGCTAAGCAAATGCTTACTGAATGAGTAAGTGTGGAAAATTGCTTATTGGTCAATACTGCTACCTGTTTGTGTTAGTGAAAATGTAGATGCTGGGCATATATACTATTTCAATTGTTATCTGTAATAGAACAGGTTTATTCATTTGCCAGTTTCAATAAACAAGTCTTTTAATAAGCACTCACATCTAAGAAAGTTAATGATAGTGAGTTAGTGAAATTTCAAAAAGTATTTCAGTCTCAACATGCCTGGCATTCCTTTCATTGATGCTGAAATTTTGAACTGTCTGTAATCTAAATTCTGTGCTGAGGGCAAGACAGCTAACTGTGGTAGTTTCCTACTCATTTCCAGAGTAAAGAGTGTTGTCATGATAAAAATAAAATCACTGACATAGGAATATGAACACACTCTCCTACTACTATAAAATGGAAGTATATTTTTAAATGTTAGCAAAGTAATGAAAATAACCAATAGTATTCATAATATTATCTACTAATTATAAACTTTTTAGTTGAGTTAAACTTTTTAGTACTGAGTGTAATATATGTTTATGCTTTAGAAAAATAATGCTGTGGATGCTACTCTTTCCTTGTATGACCAGTTATTCAAAAATATTCATTATTGTCATTTTCTGGATGTCCTAGGAATAAAGTTGAGTAAGATGTGAATCTTTAGGGAGTAGACAGGGGAGAAAGATGTATAAAAATAATGACAATGGGCCGGGCGCGGTGGTTCACGCCTGTGATCCCAGCACTTTGGGAGGCCGAGACGGGTGGATCACTAGGTCAAGAGATCGAGACCATCCTGGCCAACATAGTGAAACCCCGTCTCTATTAAAAATACAAAAAAAAAAAAAAAAAATTAGCTGGGCGTGGTGGCACATGCCTGTAGTACTAGGGAGGCTGAGGCAAGTGAATTGCTTGAACGCGGGAGGCGGAGGTTACAGTGAGCTGAGACTGCGCCACTGCACTCCAGCCTGGCGCCTGTCAACAGAGCGAGACTCTGTCTCAAAATAATAATAATAATAATAATGACAATTAACTATAATAACTGCAGTAACGGAAGAATTATATATAAGATAGAAATAATGAACTCTTGAGAGTGAAGAGGTAAAGTACTCTGTTAACTACTTCATCCTTTATGTTGACATTATGTATAAAGAGAAGTATTTCTCTGAAGATACATTATTCATTTAAGACCATTTGTTTATATTTTTCTCACTGTATATAAATTATTTTTTACCACAACTTGCTCTTCTAAAAACTTAGTCATCCCAATTATTTGTTCAGAGAGAGCCATTTCTCTAGTAGGAGCTCACAAGTTAATGATTCTATGGGCATTATTCCCCAGAGGCAAAGACATCATCATATTTTTGTGTTGTTTTTTTTTTTCCTCGTTACTGCTAACTTCTACACTAGCACACTAGTTGCACTTCAACACCTAGCACAGTGGAGTTGTGATGAGATGAACATTGGGTCTCAGTTAGTGGATGAATTTTATTCCAGGACCTTATTATTGATCGTTCCCTTTACTAATGGATTTTCAATAATACTTCTAGGTTGTCAGTCAAGAAAAAATTAATTTTGTGTGGAATGGGAGAAGTGATTGCCTAGCTGACATTACATGAAAATTTACTTTATTGTAATGAAAATATCTTTAATATAGTGAAATAGTAATTCTAAAAATGTAGATGACAAACATAAGCATTTTCTTAGCTGTTTGGTTGGCCTTTCCAGTGAACTTAAACTACTTTATATTTTAGTATAAGGTATAAAATACTTTAAAAAAATAAACTTATTTAACAGAGATAATAGACTGATTTAAGGTTTAAAATGTTTCTGTCACAGGGATGAGATAGATAAATGCAGATACAAACCCACAAAGATTTTTAAATATTATATTACTAAAAACTTAAATCTGAATAAAGTTTCAAACTATATTTTAGCCAAGAGTGCTATAAATAGAAATGTGAGAATGATATTATTTGCTTTGTTCATATATAGATGAGGACAGTAATATAATAGATCATAGTTTTCATTGATAGTACATCAGAGAATGTTGAAAATCATTTTTATCCTGTTAATTTGAAATTCAATTAGAGGCTTGGTTGACTAGCTTTGCTTGACAAATTCTTCACAGTTCAAATTAACATCATAAGATATTAGGGAGAATTGTTTAAATACTTGGGAAGAGAAGGTCTTCATTAATACTTATAAACATAGGCATTTCTCACTTAAACAAATTAGCAAAAATCATTCCCAAGTAAGAACCATGGTAGATGGAGGATATGTAGTAGTAGAAAGACTTCTCAGTGTAGACTTTTTTTGTATATCATTTTGCTGTTTGAACCATGCAAACCTGGTAATAAAATATGAATCTACAGGGTAATACACACATAAACGGTATTTGTGGGGAACAGATTTTCCTGTAACTTCACAGCCCTAAGTAGGAGCCATGTAACCGTGGGAGCAGTCCTTTGAATATACAAAGTGAAGAGGTATTTTCTTTAGGTTTTGAGACACTATTCCCTACTTCATTTAAGTTTATCTCTTCTTAACTGAGTAGACTTAATTCGAAAAGGTTAGTTCAACTAGAAATAGGACATGATTTCGGTTGAAGCCAAAATATATACTATTATAGCACTAGTATTCCACTTGTCTTATGAAAAACTAGTTACCACTGACAAATTCTAGATGAAGTTTCAGGTGTTCTCATAGCCCAAAACATGGAGGAAAATCAACTTTTTTCCCCTTTGCCTAAATCTTGAGCCCTCAGAACTTCTAACAAAAGGGTTTATGGATCCATTCCTAACAAGTCAGATTTTTTTTGGCTTCCCTTCAAAGTGAGATTATTTAGATAGCTAACTTCTGATGGGTACATACACATATTGTGCCTGAGAATAAGAATTAATTTAAGAGCCAGGTAGGAGATTTAAAGTAGACAGTAGAATATAATTTCCAGGAAAAGACTCAACATGTACATCTTCATAAAATTTTATATTATTTTCATTTATGTTTTAAAGTAAAAGATGTTCCATTGACATAATGTCTTAGTTATAAAGGTAAACAATTGTATTTTTAAAATTGTGATACTACTTTATGCAGTATTTAGAATCATTTTACTAAAGAAAGTCATTTACCACCACAGCAGAGAGTATTAAAATGTTAGTAAGTCCAAATGGTTGTTTTGTTTTGTTCTTCTGGAGAAACATACTTCTAATAACTATAGACACAATTTACTTGTAATAAAGAACACTAATGGGGAGGGTAGGAGGTAATTAACTAGGCCCTTAATAATGGGCTTTTCTAGTTCAAGGAATCTTATAATTGCCCCTGAAGCTAGTTGTGAAGGAAGTTGCAAGATGAAATATCTAGATTTGTGTAGTAGTCATTACAGGAAAAATGTTGCCTTCTGGCAAACTTTGGCACCTTTATTATGTAAAATGCCTTTTTAACGATAAGCAATATAGATTGTCAAAATTATTTTGGAGATGGAAGTCCAGTGCCTCCTGTTTACTCCAGATTAAATTAGGAAATAAGGGCAAGCCTCTCCAGTGAGCACAGTGTTTGCTCTCTTTGGGAGAAAACAGCCTTTTGGCCAAACTTTACACACTTAGGTAGTACTAGTTTGTTAACCTTAAAAAGATATTCTCATGATTAATAAGGGATGATGAAGTGTGTGGCAGTTTTCCTGAAAATTACTATGTTTTAAACGATTGAAATGGAAAAGCATGGGGAATGTTTTTATTAAATCAATACCAAAATATGCAGATTGAAATGTAACTTAGATTACATAATTTCTGCAAATGTTATCAGCTCCAAACCAGCTTCCTTTATTGTCAGTGAACCCCAAATAATATTAATTTCTCTTTTTGGGATTGCCTGTTTTGTACCATGCAAGCTACTTGAAAAATCTGATCAGTCTGTGCCAGGACTACTGTAGGAAGACAGTTAGTGAAAATAGCATGCTTTGCTTCTGTTGAGGGGGACTGTATGAAAATATATCCTATTTTCAAAATGTTTCTGAAAAGACTTATTTGTGGAAATGTTCCTTGCTATTTAAAACTCTTCAAAAATGCAGGTTTTACAAAATACAAAAATAACCTCCTGAAAGTTTGAAAGGGGAGAGGGGGCTGTTGTGTGGGGGCGGTCTCATTTGCTGCCCACATCCTCCCTCTGTTCAGTGCGTTGTGTGCTTACGGGTTCCCTGGAGCGGATCACCATATAATTGATGTGCAGTCTGCATTGCTGAATCCTGGACTGCACCATTCTGTGTTCAAGGGAAGATGTAATCTGATCCCTCTGCTGCTGAGGGAGGAATCTGTTCAGTCAAGGCTTTGACAGGGCATAGTCTCCTCCAATAATCTTCTCCGTTCTCTCTCATTATTCCCTCGAGTTCTCCTCAGTCAAGCTGCATGTATGTATGTGTGTCCCAAGAAGCGGTTTGATACTGAGCTGCATTTGCCTTTACTGTGGAGTTTTGTTGCCGGTTCTGCTTCCTAATCTTCCTTTTCTGACGTGCCTGAGCATGTCCACATTAGAATCTGTGACATACCTACCTGAAAAAGGTTTATATTGTCAGAGACTGCCAAGCAGCCGGACACACGGGGGCACAGAATCACTGAAGGGGAAAAATACAGAAAATATGGGTTTCTACGGCACATTAAAAATGATTTTTTACAAAGTAAGTAATCTGTTTTCTTCCTATGCTGTGTGATTGTGTGTGTATGCCTGCCTGAGAAGGAAAATCTGTATCATCAGAGATGGCTGCAGTATCCTCTAATTTTGGTGGGTAGCTTGATGTCTGGTATTCTGTTTTATATCATGAATGTAAGCAAATAATGGAAAGACTGTGAGCTGGAAAAAGCTTTAGATTTAAGATAAAATGTATATTTTAATCTGAGAATTTTTCACGAAAAATATATTAAGACTTTAGAAATGTGGTTCCATTAAATGCTGACCTGGAAATACTCTATCCTTAGTTGGCTTTTAGTGAACCTTTTGCCTTCAGTTTTTCTATACCTTATATATAGTTTTTCTTTTTTCATTCGTTGACTCTTTTAAAGTATAGAATCATGAGACTATTTGGGATTTATATTTAAAGAGATCATGTTTACTTTCTGTACCCCTCAAAAATTGCAGAATTAATTTTTGGTCCTGAAGTCAGTATTTTCAGTAAACAGTACAGTATTTAAAAGACTTCTGTAGTCATACAGAAGGTGCTTTACTTTATAAAATATTATTAAAATCTTTTCTCAGTGGTTTCCCTGATACACATTTTGGACTGTTTATTCATTGAAGGATTTCGAAGATGGAAATAAAGTTTGCTTTTAGTGGCAAATGGTATTTGCACCAGTGTTTTTTACAAGATATCCTGGGAAGTTCTGAAAGCCAGTATTACAAACTTAATTAGAATAAACATCAAAGTTTCTCCTAATGATAAAGATAAGAATTTGTGGAAGTTGTAAAAAACTAGATTTTAAGATAGTCTGTACTGACTGACCTTCGTAATGGATTCATTTGCATGTATGTGTATATACGTGTATCTGTAAATTATATACATGGAAACACGTGGTTACCTATATACTTCAGCTTTTATATTTATGTTTGCTTTTTAATAAAATTATTTGGAGAAAGAAAATAATGGTTTCTGAGAGGAATCACTTTAAAGCAATGTAATGAGTACAGAAACTTCTGAAGGGAAGAAATCAGCCAGACCAATTCCATTTCTTTCCAGTAGGTATGTCGTAAACTAAGGTATAAATTGTAGATGAGCTTGTTGTACCCTCACCTCTAGCCCCTAATATCATAAGATCATTCCAGTATTTTAGAAAACTCTTCATGATGACAAAAACATAGTCTTTATTATTCAGTGTGGCTCCAAAAGATTTTTAGTCTCTTTGGTATTTATATTGTATCATGCTATGTTATGATGTTCCTGTGTAAGGCAAGAGATAGGAAAATAAGACTACTGCAAAGCAAGGATTTTTACCTTCTTATACACATGACGATAGCTCTCCATCACTCTGGAGTATTTTTCCTCCTATAACTTGGAGTAATACAGTGATTAATTAGTGGACATAAATCTTAAAAAGGGGTTGCTGAAATGAAAAAAGTTGAATCTTACCAGATTTTATTTTCCAGTTTTAAAATATACATATAGCCATATAAAAATATTTCAATATTGATGTTGACAAAATACAATTCTGAATATATTTATAGTATAGCATGGCATTACAAACACCTTAAAATTTAGATTTTGGATACACCTTATAGAGAGGCATAACTCATTCTTTTAAAATCTTTCTGTTGTTTCAACTTAGAATATTTTATCCTGAGTATCTGTCAATAGAGCTATATTCTGTATATATATCAACTGATGACTTTTCCCCTCAGCTTTATTATACTATCTCCAGATTTCTCTTACCATTTTTAAAACTGTTCTTATGGCCCATATTAATTGCTCTTTGCCTTACCACTATTCAACATTATTTATACTGCCCTTTACCTTTTTATAATTGTATGCATGTTTAAAATTGAGTTTGTTACTTTCATACTTATTTCTGATTTTGAATTTTGTTTATCTTTATTAAAACATTTTTACAGAAAAATGAAGATTTGTGAGAAAGGCATGTTAAATATGATTCTATTCTGTGTGGATTAACATGAGATTTTTCCCTATATTGGTTATTAAATTGGAAAACATGAAAGACATATTACCTCAAGGAGAGAGAGAGTGAGAGTGTGTGTGTGTGTGTGTGTGTGTGTGTGTGTGTGTGTGTGTGTGTATATATATATATATATATATATATATATATATGAGGAATATCAGTTTTCAAATCATCACACACCGTTCTTCTGGATAAAATATTAGGAGGAAAAATTCACCTTTCCAGTCCGTTCAGAGTAAAACAAAGTAGAACAAATAGAAGAAACTATTAAACATTTATTTTATATATTTAATTACCATTGTAGACATATGAAAATTAAAGAATTTTAAAATATTAACCATGCTAACTCAAGGTTTGATAGTTAGATAATTTTTTAAAAATGTATCTTATTTGTTTTACCTTATAGATGAAAAGAAAGTTGGACCATGGTTCTGAGGTCCGCTCTTTTTCTTTGGGAAAGAAACCATGCAAAGTCTCAGAATATACAAGGTAATATTAAATGTAATGATTGATTATCTCATGATTCTCACTTTTTAAGAGTGGATTCTGAAAGTGTTTTAGTTTATTCTTATAGAATAATGGTGTTAGTAGTATGGTTGACTGTTTAACACATTTTGAGATTACTGAAATTGAGAACTATATCATTTTAAATAAGAGGACTACCACTATAGTTTGTTTTGTTACTAATACATTTGAAGTATGACACAAACAGAATTTCTCTTGTGAACAAAAATTTAAAATTACAAAATTTAAGGAATTTTAAAAAGAAAACCATAAAATATGAATATGAGCATCTGTATTTTGTTCCTATAGCAACAACTGTTACAGGGTAGACATTTGTGTGTGGAAATTTGAAGATACATTTATTAGCAGTGAAATAAAACTCACAATTACTAACTAAATCTTATTTCATGAAATTAATATGTTAGAAATTTTCTCTTACTTGGTAGGTCTTAAGTTTTTAACACATGCATTTCTATACCAGTAGAATGGTTTCTATAACAACTAAATATAATTGTAATCTTTTTCTACTTCAGTCCATCATTTTTGGATTTTATATCAGTGTAAAATTTTTCCCACTCTCACACTAATTAGGCTAACTTAAGCATAATGTCTGTTGCCCAGCCAATTAAAAATGGCTTTGAATGTCACTTGGAATGTCGTATTTTATAATTTAAATGACAGAAATATCTTAGAGCTTTTTTTGGTCTTTAAAAAAGAATTTTTTGTATAATTGCCAGTTTTTAAAATAAGTGATTGAAAGTTAACAGTAGAAACTATAAGAACTTCATGGTTATGACATTTCTTCCTTTCTCTCAAAATATTTTGATTTAGTTATTTTTTATTCTATAAGATGCAATAAAACTAACATTGCTCAGATGTAATTTTTATTGAACATTATTACAGATTGTATCTCTTACAGGGAAATTGCTTTTTATTTCAGTTGTAGAAAATATTTCTTTCAAATGTTCTTTTATGAAATTTGAAAATCATAATAATTAGAATAGTCTTACATTCGAAAGTGAAGAGATTATACAGAAGAGAAAAATAAAGCTATCTCTTAGTTATTCAGGAGCTTCTTTTCTGTGTGATTTTTCTTCTGTTAACTGTCCCCCTTCCCGTTACTCTTTGCCTTTTGACAGTTTTACTGTGTTTTGGCACTTCCACCAGAGGGTGTGGAGGGATAGAAAGACAAGTGAAACTATTCACTTCATTGTGCTTTTCCCTTCTAGTCATGATAAAGTATATCTTGGATGAGAAATTTGCATTTAATGTTCAACTAACTGTTAATGCTATTTTTAAAATGTATCAGTCTTTTATTAATATGGCTGATATTAGGACAAAGGTATTACATTGTTCAGTTGTTTTTAAGGCAACTTAAAATAAATGAGTGCTGAATTTTTATTACAGAACGCATTTTATTTATCTTTAGTTGCTCACTTTTTATATTGACAAAGCAACTGAAAAGGCACATGTTTTACTTTTAGCCTGTTAATGTATAATTTTATTAAAGCAAAATTAGACCAAACAGCATATTTATTTCCATATTTTTTTGTAGACTCTTAGGAAGGTATGTATTTGATGTTTTGTGATATTTTTGCAACATTTGCTAATAAGATAAAACTGTGATTTATTTTTTCCAACAGTTTTTTTTCTTAGAAAATTTGTTATTAACACATCCTATTTTATTTTGGAGAAAAAGAAAATAGAACTTACCTTTGAATTTGAAAGAAGAAAAGGTAGATTTAATTGTTGAATGTTAGAGATTTTCTTAGATTTCTACTATTACAGGATTTAAAGGGGGTAGATGAGAAGACTTTTCTGTAAAATCTGGTGATAGAGTCAAATTTTTTAACAAAATAATGCTGCGTAGAAAAAAAAAGCTGGAGGAGTTATTTTACTAGTAATTTATCAGTTTGATTCTTAACTATTATGATGCAATGAATTGAGTGAGGATTTCTTTTTAAATATAATTTCGTTAAACCAGATCTTCCTGCTGCTTTTTTTCCCAATGTCTTTAAAATGGATATTCAGTATTTACCTTGAGTTTAATTACATGCAGAAATTAGAAAGGAAAGTTTAATACATTCGTAATATAGTTATATATCTATATTATTTCTGCTATTAATTAGTCATTTTTAGAATAGTTAGACAATGTTAGAGAGATCATCTAGTTGGTCCCCATTTTACTAGTGGCAGAATTGAATTTCAAGTTATTTGAGGCAGTTAAATCTCAAAATTTAAATTATTGTATAAAAATATTTAGATAATCTTATTTTTGCATATAATAGGTCCTTAATACTTAAATGTATTTCTAATTAAGACTGAGTCCTGGCAAATATTTAGACCAAGCTTTATATATAGCAATAAAAAATTAGAAATATTACAGACAATTTTGAAGGCAGCTGGGGCAAACTTAAAGAATTAATATGACTCTTGAAATTCAAAACATTTGAACATACTATTTCTATGTCTGAGTTTTTTAAAGCATTAATAAAGTATCACAACCCTTTTTATAAAGAGAATTTAAACTTTTTTTTACTTAATGTCACTGAAGACCAGTCATAGGAGAAGTGGGACTTGGATGTTCTAAGGAAATATTTTAACATTATTTGTATATATTAACATCTTGCAGTTTTTTCATGGAGATTCTGTTATTTGGTTGCAATTAGCATTTCCGGGATAATAACAGGCGTTATGTAGGAGGGAGGAAACTTACTGTAAAAACAGCAAAGTAGGTTTTATGTACCTGTGATCTCTGGGAGAAAGGTAAGTAATTGAATTGATGTTTGAAATATGCCAGATCATTATTCTTTGTACTAGAATCTATTATTAATAAGTATTTATCTTTGCTTTCACTCTTGTTTTTTCTCTCTCTCTCTTTGTCTTTCTCTGTTTCTCTCTCTCGCTTTCTTTCTCTCTTTCTTTCTTTTCTGTAGTACCACTGGGCTTGTACCATGTTCAGCAACACCAACAACTTTTGGGGACCTCAGAGCAGCCAATGGCCAAGGGCAGCAACGACGCCGAATTACATCTGTCCAGCCGCCTACAGGCCTCCAGGAATGGCTGAAAATGTTTCAGGTGACATATCGAAACATAGTACTTGAAATGCTTCACTTACTTGCTAGAAAAAGCAAGGGATTATTTAGCTGTAAAAAAAGAAGCACTTTTACATACTATACTGTGGATGAACCTTGAAATCATTCTGCCAAGTGAAAGAAGCCAGACACAAAAGCCTACATGTTGATTCTCTTTATATAAAATATCCAGAATAGGCAAATCCATAGGGACAGAAAGTAGATTAATGGTTGGAGGAGGAGAGGACTAACTGCAAATAGGTACAGGTTTTCCTTTTGGGGTGATAGAAGTGTTCTGGAATTGGTTAATGGTGATGGTTGCACAGCAATATGAATATAATGGGAAGCACTAAAGTGTACACTTTAAAATGGTGAATATTGTGTATATTTCCATTTTAAAATGCTATTAAAAACAAGGGAACTCATTTGAATTTTTGAGTGTCATAATTGAGAAAGTCCAATACTTATTTGTGTAACTGTGCACTGACATTTTTAAAAAATTACTTTTAAAATAATAAGACTTTTCTTCCTCTTCTCCTTTATGTTTGAGTTTCTGGGTTGTCTCGTTTTCTAAACTGCACTGTTTGTAAGTTAGGCATTTAAGAGTAATTTAAGAACCATACTAGCTATAATTAATAAAGCTTGTTTTCTTCGGTGCCATGCTCATATATGGCTTACTGTGCTTGAATTCTGATTACTGTATTTTAATAGTATTTATATTATTTGAACATTTACAGGGAAGAGTGGTTACAACCAAACCTTGAGTATTATGAATTTTCTAACCTAAGATAGTAATATTACATTGACTTATCTCTTTTTCCAGTAAGATAGTACATATAATTCAAGAGTTAAGCAAAACAGTTGGCAAGAATTAAGCACTCACTCAATTATTTGTTGCAAATAATAAATAATATAAATTATTTAAAGCAAAGATATCTGATATTAGCCTCCATACTTATGGAAAATGAGTATACTACCCTACCGCTGGCTGCATGAATGGTTAGGTATTTAATGAATGCATAAGGGAATAAAGATGATACTTTATTTGACGTTTAGTGTTTCAGATTTTTAAGGTGTTCACTTTATAAATCCTAATATTTTAAATTCCTAGATGAATGTGAGATAAATGTGCCTATTTTTTCTTCTGTAGATAGAAAACTAACTTGGAACAGTATTACTTTTAAGTAGATTTTAAAAATGGTTTTCTACATTTCAGGTGATTTCCAAAAAAATAGGAAAACCTTTTTTTGGTCGGTAACTGAAAGATTTGAGCCTTGCTCTCAACAGGGATTAGTTTTTCCACTGAAGGAGACAAAAGCGTCTCAAGACATTTTTCGTTTTTATAACTGAAGGGATGGGGGTGGGCAGGACGCTGCTGGCATCTAGTGAGTAGAAGTACTGTAAAGGTCAATCTCCATGCCAAAGAATTATACAGCCCAAAATGTCAGTGGTACTAAAGAATCTCTAGGTTAGAGGAGTGAAAGTTATATTTTATTGTTATTAAAATGTTATGAGCCACTGCAGTTACAAAGAATTTTTTTTTTAAGTTTTCATAAACATTTGTTGGTTAAACTTACCTTTTCCCCAAGGATTATTCCTACCCCTCCACCTGAGTTATTTTGCCTCTGGTTCATGATGGCTTTTAAAAATGTAAAATGTTGATTAATGTTTATGTTTTCTTATGCAGGCCCTCAGAATTCTAAATTTTTAATTTTGTCCCATCTTTAAAAAAAAAAATTATCCATCAATAAGAGGTGAAAATAAAACTTGAACACTTATATAGCCTTAAAAAATACTTCAAAGATTTTTATCATCTCTGATTAAGCCAAAGAGATGGGAATATGGGTATGTGTTGCCATGCTGACACATGCGTATAGTGTGAACAACACAGTACTCAAGAGTAGCGTAGAGCTGATTTCATATCATTTTTATAAGAAAATACCAACATGATTGAAAATTACAGTTAGCTATAGTTTTATCATCATAGATATCCTCCAAAATGCTTATTTTATATGAAAAGGCTTATTTCTTATCAGAAGGTAGTTCAGAATAAGATTTAATTTTTTCTGTGGTAGGGCTCATTTTTTCCAGTGTTTTGGAATACCTGAATATTCTTTGCTTGCTATCTAGGGTATTTCTCAATTTTAAGGGGACTCTCTAATATTGAGCTATAGGAAGAGGCATTTTGGCTTTATTTAGTCAGGATATTTTAGAGAGTCCATTGTACAACGTTTGCTTGTTTAGCTAGCTCATGCTTTTTAAATAAAATGTCCAAATGTTACTACATACTGCATTTCATCAAATCTGAGACACCATAGATTTTCTTTAGATGGATTCCAATTTCAGAGATGTTAATGTTACCAAAAAAAAAAAAAAGCTTTATTCAATAAGCTAAATAATGTTAGACTAGCTTAACTGTAGGTACAGTGAAGAAAACTTGTTCTTAGTTAACAGGAATAGCATGTGGAATTACCCTGCAGGTATAGTACTGTAAGTTTTTTTTTTTTTTTTTTTTTTTTTCCAGATAAATATTCTTTAGCAAAGAAATCTGTAGCAACAAAAGGTCAACTAGACAGGCAGATCAGGACCATCATCTTTTGAGTACCATATCTGTCTCTGACACACCCAAGGCCTCATCGTTGTACATTGCCCTGTATTTTCAGGGCTGGTACCAGAGTAACTAGAAATGATTCACTTGCCTAAAGGCTTACAGTGCTTTAATGTCTAACTTGTAGAGAGATATAATTTCATAATAAAGTGGGGAAATCATGAGTTGACCTATGTGAGATAGTTGAGGGATAATTAAACTGGCATGATTTCTACAAATATGCTGTGGGGACATTTCATGATGACTTTTCTGTTGCATAATAAACAGTATGGGAGAGCTTATTCCCTTACTGTTCTGCTCCAGCTCCATCTATTTTGACAAAGCACTTTGTACTCTGTTTATAAATTGAGTATGAACAAATGATATTACATTTTGCATAAAAGAAGACTGAAACAGAATGCCACTGGAAAATAGAAGTGCAAATTAAAGACAGAAACCAGAAAATAGAAATTTTGCATCATTTAAATTTTCAGTAGCCATTGATCCACTTTGTTTGGCAGTCAGATTGATGCTTCAGATTGTTTATTTAGGGAAGCAGGTGGGTCATTTTTTTGGTTTGTTTATATCATTTGGGTGCTAATAAATGGTTTCCCACTTGAAATTTTCAGTAGGTAAAGACATTAATTACATAAACATTATTTTATACAGAAATTTATATTCAGAAGCATCTTGAGATTAGCACAAATGACTTAGAAGGATAAGCTCTTAGTTCAAAATTTAACATTGCCTCTTAAAAACAATTTCATTAATATTATATAACCATTCTTGCCTTTATTTTCACTCTATAAAACACTTAACATTAAAAAGCTGTCAAAGGGGAGAAAACATGGACATGTGCTTAAAATACTTGGAAATATATTGGATACTCAATAAATGCTAATTTCTTTTCTTGATTAGGAAATAATCTTAGTGGACCTCAGAAATTTTCTGAGATCCAAAAAGGGACTGTTAACACTAGCTTCACAATATTGCTATGAGAATCAAAGATACAGTGATATGGAAGAACTTTAACCATATACAGAACTTCTACCTAATTAAATAAATAATTACATTATTTTAATTAAAGCATATTTGAATTAAGCTATTTGTGTACTTTGAAAATATCTGTTGCATTCAAAATATTTTAAAATGGTAAGTAAAAAATTCATGTGTTTTGATATTAAAAATCGAAAAACTTCTCCATTGAAAGATTTAATTAGGTTTCATAGGAACACTTAGAAATTGTACGTGTTCTCAAACCTACTTTTATTTACACTTATTCACTAGTCAACAAAAGATTAAAACCCACAGGATATTGCCAAAAATTGAATCTATTATTACTTTGAAATTGTATTTGGGACACAGTGATTAGGAAACCTTGTTTTGTGTGAAGGACTTGAAGAAAGCCATGTATTTAGCTAGAGAAGACTAAGGGAAAATGTTATGTCTGTTTTTAATATTTTAAAGACTTTTGTGTAAAAGTAGAAAAAAGACACATTCTTGGTTTCTTCAGAAAGTAGAACCTGAATCACGTTCTTTGAGTCAGATTTTGGCATTAAGTTAAACCTAACAATTAAAACTGGCCCACAGTAGAATGGGAGATAATGAGTTACATGAATCCTGGAACTGTTCAAGCAGACTGGATAACTATGTGCTAGAGGTGCCGGAGAAGTGACTTCTTTACAACATGAAATTCAGGTGCAGTTCTATCCAAGGTTATAAAACAGTGTGTCTGATTGGGACACTAAAGATCATTGAGACCAGTGGTTCCCAAATGCTGCTTTGTGAATCATCTATGTCAACACTGGATGAGTTGCATGTTTACCGAGGCGGGTGGATCACGATGTCAAGAGATCGAGACCATCTTGGTCAACATGGTGAAACCCCGTCTCTACTAAAAATACAAAAAATCAGGTGGGCATGGTGGCGCATGCCTGTAATCCCAGCTACTCAGGAGGCTGAGGCAGGAGAATTGCCTGAACTCAGGACGGAGGTTGCGGTGAGCCGAGATTGTGCCATTGCACTCCAGCCTGGGTAACAAGAGTGAAACTCCGTCTCAAAAAAAAAATAAATAAATAAAAATAAAAATAAAATAAAAATAAAAATAAAATGCCTTCAGCCACTGAATCAGACTTTCTGCTGGTGGGTTTTAGAGCTCAGTAATTATTGCTTTCCTTGATCCACTGGCCTGGACTAAGCCTCTCACTGTGTAGGTGGGTTCTCTGAGACTCAGACTCGTTAAGAGACTTCCATGTGGTTCTACAGTGAGTTTCTTGGTGAAACCAAGGCTCTTGATTGCAGTTTAGTGTTCCTTCTATTCTTCTCTACTAAACCTCTGTGCTTTCATTTACCTGAAATAAAACACCACTTCCATGGGGAATTTTCAGATTTGCATTTGCAATTTTGTCCGTAAATTAAAATTTGCTTCTGAACTTGGAATACTTTTCCTGTCCCCTTCAATATGTTCCAACATGACTACCATGAAAGGCCAAAGGAAGTACTTTCTTTTTCTCTTTTGGGGGACAACCACTTTTCAAATAGCAGTAAAACAATAATTATAAGAATTATTCAATACTTTGCTTTTGCAGATAAAGAAACTAAGGCCTGAAGAGGTCAAATTGTAAGCTAATTATAGTGACAATATCTCCTGAAATTATATCCTAACCCCCAATTCAGTTCTCTCTCAACTATTCTTCGTAAATGGTTGTTGTAGGTTGTTATTTTATATGTGTGTGTGTGTGTGTGTGTGTGTGTGTGTGTGTGTGTTCATTAGCTGCAAGGTTTTCATGTTAATGTATATGTCCCTTCTGCTAAATTGTATAAGACAAAATTTGAAACCGCTCTTGGAACCAAACTAATCAAGCAAGTCCCAGTGATACCATCAAATATAAAGAATAGAAATACTCTCTACAGTTAGCCTTGAGATGATAGCATTTAGAGATAGTATTTCTTGATTCTTTTGGGATTCATTTATTTATCCGATAAATATTTACTAAGCACCTTTTATGTGCTAGGCCCTACTTGGGTCTGGTATGCAATAGTGAATAAAACAGACAAAAACCTCTTTTTCATGAAGCCTACATTCTAGTCACAAGGGGATGAGATGGATGGGTTTGGAACTGGTTGCAATTTTAGAAAGGTTGCTCAGGGAAGGAAGTAAGGAAGCAAGGCATGTGGGTATCTAGGGAAACAATGTTCCAAGGAATAGCAAGGAAAGATGTTGTAAAGCTGAGTGTGCCTGGAGTGTTTACAGCACAGAAAGAGTGTGTATGGCAGAGCAGAGTAAATAAGAGGAAAAGTAATGGGAAATTAGTATAGGCCAGCATAAGGACTAATTTCTACTTTGAGTGAAGTGGAAAGCCATTAGAAGGCTTTAAGAAGGTTGAAGATTTTCTAGCAGTAGCATGAGTGCAGTGTGGAGAATAGAATGAGGAGTCAAACGTAGAAAGCTGGAAGACCACTTAGGGAGGTGGAAAAATAATCTAGTTGAGACATACTGGTAGCTCTGTCCAGTGTAGTAATAGATTGTGGATATATTTTAAAGTTTAAGGCTATGAGTTCATTTGAATCAAAACCATCTGATGGTGAAAGAGAGATAGGAGACAGGAATGACCAAAGACTTCTTGGCCTGAGTAACTAGTAAAATAAAGTTGATTTTACTGAAATGAGCAAGACAATAGAAGTACAGATTTGGAGAGAAAGATCATGGACATGTTAAGTTTCAATTACATTTCTAAGAACAGATGTTGAAAAAGCAACAACATGTACAGGTCTGGAGTTCAGGGAAGAATTCCAGGCTGGACAGAGGAAAGCTGTTTTTATGGTTCAGATCGTTATTTAGAATCACCAAAAAGATGTGATTGTAAACAACAGGACTGTTGAATATGTGTGATCAGGGGAAACAGTCTGATTTTCTTATGCTACTCATCTTTGTCAGTGCTATACTTTTTAATAAAATATCACAAAGTAACATCTGACTGTATGTATAAGTTAAATTGAGATGTTTTAAATTGTATTTGATTCCTATTAAATCAAAGATTCTTTAAAACAAAATAAAAATATATTGTTTAGAGTCTTAGAAATATTTTGTTAAACAGGCATAATTTTTTTCCATGTACTTTTTCTTAAATATGTAGAAATTTCTGACACAGTTTCAAATACTTAGCTAAGATCTGAATTAGTTATTTATCATCTGTCCTGTCTTCTTTAATTCTACACCCTATCCTCCAAAAACCTTGATAAAAGATATTTCATATATTAGCTGCCTTTTTTTTTTTGAGACAAAGTCCCACTCTGTGGAGTACAGTGGCATGATCATAGCTCATTGCGGACTTGACCTCCTGCCACAGCTCCATGAGTAGCTGGGACTACAGGCATACTCCACCATGCCTGGCTAATTTTTAATTTTTTTGTAGAGATGGGGTTCATTATGTTGCCAGGCTCGTCTCGAACTCCTGAGCTCAAGTGTTTCTCCTGCCTCGGCCTCCCAAAACTGCTGGGATTACAGGCGTGAGCCAACGCATCTGGCCTAAAGCTACATTTTAATCAAGTTAACATAGTTATCAGTCACTCAAAATGAGCATGTCCTTATACTAGTGTCCGTGCATCGTCTATAATGTAGATGGAAAGAAATAGCTTATTATCAAAACAAGTTAATGAGTTTGTTCTATGATACCAGTTAGAGAGAGATGAGTAGAGGTTGATCACTGTAAGTTATGTCAAAGAGGTAAATTTTAAACCAGTATTTGAAGTAATGTGAGAGAAACCAAACAAGATTATTGAACTTCAAATTAACTGCTTTTCATTGGTCACATGTGTACATATACATGTTTGTGAATATTTTACATTTCTATGCATAATATATCCTCCCCCTGACCATAAAAGGTACAAGGTAAGGCTCAAGGTAAATGTTCTAGGTGCATGTATCTAGAAGCAAAAGGAAGGGACACAACTGGTTGGAGCCTGTATTTCCTTAACATTAGGTGATAAAATGGAATACATTATGGAAATAAATACTATTGAAATGTTTTCTCGTATTGCCAATTTAATACATACTTTATCATAAGAAAGAAGAGATGAAGTTTATTGTAGATTCCACAGGGGTAAATTCTTTTAAAAGTATTCCAAATATGGCTCCTGATATCCTTAATATATTTGTTTTCAATTATTATATCTTTCACATCTTGGATCAAGTTTTCTTGTTTGGACAAGAAATGGAATGGCAAAATGGAATGGAGATCTTTTTAACTGAAAGCCTCACCTATTCTCTATTCACCCACTTGTAAAGTAGACACAATAATTCTTACAATGATACTTAAATAAGTGGATTTGCAGAAATGAAGGCCTGCTTAAGAATGTTCTTTCATTTAAGTTTTATGAGGTTATTTAAATGTGTAAAATTGTAACATTTGAATTATTCACATGGCATTTTAGTTTTTCCTTTTAAGAACCATAGCTTTTCTGTGCAGGTGTTCTTCACTGAGGGGAAAATAATAAAATTTTAAGATAATCTGATGTCATTTAAAGAAACTCTTATTTCTGAAGCATAATTGTGTGTTTTTGTGTTTTTATAGTGTATCTCTTTCTCTCTTACCCTCTTTTGGCCTTTGTTTATATTCTAACTTTACCACTGTCGGCTACTATTTTCTATTGTTGATTGTTTTTTATCTGAAATTATTTTCCCATAACAAATCAAAGCCTGTTTAATTTGTGGAAGATACTTGTCAAATGTGTAATATAACCAGTTACTAATTTTTCTCTAAATGGTGCTGCTGCTCTTTTTTCAGATGAGTGCCTTAATAAAACCATCTAATTTTATGATGCCCACTAGTAAGAATGTAGAGAAAGGAAAATTGTCAAAATTTTCTATTATTTACTCAGTAACCGAAAATGATGTTTCTCGAATAAAATTTTGGCTTCTCAATTAGTGTCTTGGTGGTAGATAAACATATAACTATTATAATAATTTAATGAAAAAAAATTTCTCTGTCAAACATGACTTTTTTTAAAGCTTTTACAAAATAAAAGTGGTTGGTAAGCAATAAAATTAAATGCCTTCCTCGATATCTTGTGGAAAAAATGTCAGTATAAGGAGCCAGTTTTTATACAATTCTACCTTGTTCATCTGTGGTTGTGTATAGGTTTGAGTTTTCCTTTATAAGCCTATAATTTGGGACATCTGTTAAAATAATAAAAATTTCTCATTCTCTTTGATAGAGCTGGAGTGGACCAGAGAAATTGCTTGCGTTAGATGAACTCATTGATAGTTGTGAACCAACACAAGTAAAACATATGATGCAAGTGATAGAACCCCAGTTTCAGCGAGACTTCATTTCATTGCTCCCTAAAGAGGTAAGGATTATCAATTACATTCTCCATTGGGTGTTATTTGAATATATAACTCAATGGCTACCACCTTTAAACATTGTCATGCTAATTATGGTATTCAGTATTGTCAGTTTGACACTCTTAATTAGTGGTAAAGTGTGCTGTATATTGATAAATTGCCGTGACTTAATAATGTAATTGTCAGATTAAAGTATGCATGTGGACTAAGTAACTCCTTTCCACTACTTGAATAAGTCATATATGAGAGTAACTATTGAGTCTCACTAATTTAATTATTTCTTTATCAAGATTTTTTTGCCAGGTTATTTGAAGCCCAACGTTTAGTTGTCTTGGTATATTAATTACAGTATATTTTTTTTTTAAATTTTGACTTTATTAAAATGGCAATACTTTTTCTCTTATTTTATTGTGTATCTTAAGTCCCTTCAAGACCAATAGTTTTATGATTCTGTTGAATTACAGTTCTCTTGAACTTACATTGTATAATTATTTTAAATACGAATATTATAATTTCACGTGTATATATTTATCTACTAATCATTCTCCTCCCCATCTCCATTACACACATATAGATTTTCCATACTAATTACATGCTAACAGCACTTCTTTGGGAATTATTTGTCTATTTCTTTTTATTTTTATGTAAGCTGAAACTATCATAGACTGATTATATGGGCATTCATAACTATAAATAAGGCATTACTGATATTATAGACTTAGTAATTTTATTTTGTCAGCAAGCAGAAATAATATAACATTAAATAATCAGCATCCCCATGCTAATTATTTATATTTTCATAAGTAATTTTATGAATTTATATTTTCATAAGTAATATGCATATTTATATTTTCATAAGTAATATGTATATGCCACTAGTTATATGTCAGCTAAGAAGACAATATAAAATACTAATATACCATTTCAAATGATCCTGAAACTTCAAATTTGAACAGAAAAGGAGTCATTTTTTAAGACTATCATTCTAAATATCCTAATAATAATAAAGATAGTGCCAGTTAGAATTTCACATTGGATACAAATAAAATAGTTGTATCATATTTAATGCATAGAACTAGACATAACTCTATAACTCCAGAGAAAAGCAAAGTGGAGAAAATCTCTTCTTCCTGAAATGTTTTCTACTGAGTGCTTTTTTAAAATGATGTTGGCCCAGAAGAAAATTTTTATTTTTGCTAGCTCATTCTAAAACTGAATTCTTTGAATAGATTTGGCTTATGAAAGTGACATCAGCTCTCTTTGCTTCCAGAAGGGCATTAATAATGGGAAACACATAAACACATAAAAACACTGAAAGTGATTTTATTCACCTTTGATATATTCTCTATAGTTTCCTTAGTGATATCCTCCTTGTTTTAGAGGTTATCATTTTTGTTAAAATGCAGGCCTTCTCATAGTCTTATTTATTCTCTATTTCTAATAATGGTGAGGTTTTTGGTTTGTTTTGCTTATTTGAATTTCCATAGTAACTTAACACACAAAAATGTGGTTTAAGATTAGAATATGAAAGTATTTTCAAAAATCTAAGAACTAATAACAAATAATCAATAACCAGGGTAAATCCAATAAAGATTCTCTTGGTTTAAGTATGCTTTTAAAGACTGCCTGGGGAAAAAGAAGTGAAATTAGTTAGGTAGGAGACTACGGGAGAGCCTTGATATAGCATATCATCAATGTTTCCCTCTTGTTTTCAAGTACCAGGAAAAGAAGTTTCCTATTTTGAAAAATGTTTTAATGTCCATGTGGATAAATAACAGTATAGGTCAAAGTTTTTAGAAAATTAACATTATACTTTTGGAAACAAAGTATTATTATTTAAAACATTATTACCTTCTTGTCAGGAAATGGACTTATTTTTCTTATAATTCCTTTGGACAGATCTCAAAACTCTTTAGAAACATTTACTTATTAATCTCAAAAAGCTTGACAAAAATCTCACTGGTTTCGTATGGGAGGCTTGTGATGAATAGCAATGTCTTTGTAAATGAATACCAAGAAAATCATAATCATATAGTAGATGATGTAGAATAAAACCTGAAATTCTTAATATAGGATTATTATTTTTTTCCTTGACTAGTTTAATCTGAAATATAGCAAGTCTGGGAAAATTTTGGCTACCTTTTAAATACAATGTGGTTGTCTTTTATATAGGTTATAGAGAAAAATAAAAAATAGCAATTCTTACAGAGTTGGACAAGGAAAAGGTAATTATCTGAAACAGGTTTCAGTTCGAGAGCTTTTCTCTGGCAGAAGTGGTCTTTAGGAAGAAATACTAATCTGGGTTTTACATGTAAAACAAATGAATAGGAAACTGCATTAGCTGGACCAGATGACTTGGCTGCAAGAAGCCCATGACTCCCTACCAAAGTGGTTGGAGAAACAGAGTCTCTGTTTCCCAGGCTGGGTGCAGTGGCATGATCACAGCTCACTGCAGCCTCAAACAGTTCTCTTGAGTAGCTAGGACTATAGGCATGTGCCACCACACTTGGCTAATTTTCTGGGAGGTTGGGGTGGCAGGGTGATGCCCCTTTTATGAGAGTAGTAATCCCATTCATGAGGGCTCCAGTCTCATGACCTGATTATTTTCCAGACATCTTGCTTGCTAATGACATCACATTGGGGGTTAGGATTTCAACATGAATTTGAGGTAATATAGACATTCAGTCCATTTCAGAACCCTACATGACACAACCTTGCTTCCTTTGAGGGAACTGGTATACTTCCTCATAATATATAGTAAGAATCATGCAACTAATTGCTATTCTCTTTTTGGCTTGGCAGTTTAATTCAAAACCTTGTAAGACATAATCTTGTTGAAAGCATATTTGTGCTCTACTTCTTCTCTAGTTTAAACCTTCTTTCTGATTTTTTAATTCATATTTTCATTTTGCCTTGTGTATTTTCTGTATTGCTTTGATGTTTTGATGGAACTGGCTAGATTATGACATATAATAAGTTGAAGTTCTTGGTTGAGTTGGGATCTTCACTGCTTTAAAGGAAAGTATGCCAGTAACCTATAAAGTTAGCACTTCAACTTTCTTTAGTGCCTTAGTATTTATTTATATTTCTCCTTAATGTACTGGACTAGATGGTTTCTTAATCACTGTTAATGCTGGAAATTTTACCTGTTGATTTGGGGATATACTTTGGAAATCTAAGCTGTTCTGGAATTGTTGTTTCCTAGCTGTTAAAATCCATTGACTATTTCTGTAAATTATCTGATTTCTAGTTAAGTCAGATAACTAAAGCAAAGAAAAGAATAGACTTTTTCTGTTTTTAGATGAGTATCTTGGTCATTAATTAGCACCTTTTTTGCACAAATATTTTTGTGCCTGGTAATTTCTATGTTAAATTACAATTCTGCATAGATTAGTAATGGTAACATCACATTACTGCTATACTGATACAAAGTGAACTTGCCTAGGCTTTGATTGATTGGTAATTCCCAAATTAAGTGGCTTTTGGAGTATCCATTAAGTATAATCTTGATATTATATTATGTGTGAGTATTGTTGAATGTAGTTACACCTTTTTATTTTAAATGACCCAACTTCTGTACGTAATACTGGTCTTCTCTGATATACCAAAAGTAGTTATTTCACAAAAAAAGTTTTTTCACTATCATTCATCAGTAGTAGTATTAAACTGAATACTGGCTGGTTGGAGTATTTTGTATATTGAATATACTCAGTAAATATGTAATTAATGATGAGTTGTTGTTCTTGTTGTTTTTGAGACCGAGTCTTGCTCTGTCACCCAGGCTACAGTATACTGGTATGAGCTTGCCTCATTGCAACCTCCACCTGCTGGGTTCAAGTGATTCTTACACCTCAGCCTCCCAAGTAGCTTGGATTATAAGCATGCACCACTACACCTGGCTAATTTCTGTATTTTTAGTAAAGATGGAGTTTCACCATGTTAGCCAGGCTGGTCTCAAACTCCTTGCCTCAAGTGATCCTCCCACCTCAGCCCCCCAAAGTTGCTGGTATTAACAGCAGTGAGCCACTGTACCCACCCGATGATGAATTCCTTATATATACAAAGTCATTGGGAAAGCATATAATTTATATTATATAATTTCTATTTAGCATCAAAAAATAATTAAAATTGTGCTTTTACTCCCTATATGATCCTTGACCCTTTAACGGATAATTTTAGTTCTTGTCATTCAGTTCATATGAAAACTGAACTTAATTGCTCTATTTAAATTATTTTCCCAAAAATAATAATTTAAAATTTTATGTGATAAGTGAGGCTACTTGAATACTTGTAGTCAGAGGCTATAATTCCCCTTCTCTTTTTTTCCTCTTTATTTTTCCTTTATCTTTGTTTATTTATAAACTGACATACTGAAAAAAAATGATGGTTTATAAGTATGGAATTTTAAAATTGGCAGTATACCTAAGAGTTAGCTCAAATATACAACTCTATGTGGCCCATCAAGAAGATCCTTATAAGTAATGTAAAGTAATTAGAACTCAATTACTTTTATATGTCTATGCAATAGTTTAATAATTGTCCCCCTTTGTCATTTACACTCACGGATGTAAGTATTTCAAAGTTCGTTATGATAAACACTTTGATGTGAAGACTGTTAATTATGATATATATCTATCAGAAATGATCTCAAGTCATACCACACAGAATATATAAAAACCTCATTTCTTATCTGTCAGGCAAGTATTTAGGTCCTGTCTTCAGTTAAATTACATTGTAGTGGGAGAGAGAACAAAGTTAAACAACTAATAACATTTTTTAAAAAAAGCATTATTGAGTTGAGTCTCACAGAGCAAAGGCATGAGCAGAGACAGAGAGGTTTAATAAGTAGTCCTTGAAGAGGTAAAGAGTTAGTAGAATGAAGTTCATAAAAACCAATAAGGTATGTATATGTTTTTTATCTGGTATATATTTGTTAGGACTGAAGTTACTGTCTTTCATAATTTTAGAAATCAGAGAATTATATTTATCAAGTATTTCATCCTGTGGAGAATAATTAACTTATTATATAATCCATATATTTATTTAAATGTGGGTATTACACTATGCATTTTTCTTTTTCATAGTTGGCACTTTATGTGCTTTCATTCCTGGAACCCAAAGACCTGCTGCAAGCGGCTCAGACGTGTCGCTACTGGAGAATTTTGGCTGAAGACAACCTTCTCTGGAGAGAAAAATGCAAAGAAGAGGGTAAGGTTCAAAACTGCATAGAGACTATGTTTATACTTTGAAAAGTCAGAGTGATTCTGAAAAAAAGTAGAAAAAATAAAAAAAAGAATATTCACCTACTTATAGTAAAATCCACACGTTATTCTACACATTCAAATGAGCCAAATCTTGCAGCTGACCTGTTTAACAAACAATATAACTAATAGCAAATGTATCTAATTTGCTTCCTGTCACTAGTAGAATTAATAAACAATGAAAGTCAAGTTGAGGATGATTTAAAGGAAACCCCCAAATTAATTACCAATTAAATATTCAAATATTTAGTATTAGTTCATTCCTTACATATTTATTGAACACCTCCTATGAGCTAGACATTTCTTAAAGGTGGGGGATATAGCAGTGAACTGAAGTTCTCTTTCTGTCATGGAGCTTATGTTCTTGAAACCTGTTTTTTTCCTTAGTAGAGGAGTAGTTATCTTCTGTATTGGGAGGATTTTTTTTTTCCTCCCAGCAGGCATCCAGAAAAATAGTATTTTTGAAAAAATACAAAACTATTATATGCCTCAGAAGCAAAATTTTTGAGAAAGAATCATAGATCATGATGCAGGTACTCTATAGGTGATCCTTCCTTTCATGGTGGTTATAGTCAAGTGGGGAGCATTGATGGTTAGTCCAGTTAATAAAGGTTAAAGATCCAGGGGTTTCTCATCCTCATCCTGCTTTTGCCCTCTGTGGGGCTTAGGTTAATCAGTGAAATCTTCCTTCTTAAGTATCTGTATACATAAAGTGGGATTAATCTCTGCCTTCCCTTCTCCCATACCAAATCATTTTTAAAAATATTTTTAAAATTGTGATAATGTGTATGTATTATATCAATTTAACCATTTTAAAATGTACAGTTCAGTGGTATTAAGTACATTCACATTGTTTTGTAACTATCACTACCATCTATCTTAACAACTTCATCTTCCTCAAGTGAAACTCCATGCCCACTGTTAGAACTCCCCATTATTCCTTTCCACAGTCTCTGGCAACCACCCTTTTACTTCCTATCTCTATGAATTTGACTGCTCTAGGTACCTCATATAAGTGAAATCATACAATATTTGTCCTTTTGCAATCAGCCTATTTCACTTAGCATAATGTCTTCAAGGTTCATCCATGTCATAGCATGTGTCAGAATTTCCGCTATTCTGTTGTGTGCATGTATCTAATGCTATCCATCTGTCAATGGACCCTTGGATTGCCTGTACCTTTTAGCTATTGTGAATAATTCTGCTATGAGAATAGGTGTACAGATAACTGCCTTGAGGCTCTGCTTTTAATTCTTTTGGTTACGTATCCAGAAGTAGAATTGCTAGATCATATGTTAATTCTGTGTTTGTTTTGGGGAACCAACAGACTATTTTCCACAGTAGCTGCACCATTTGCACAAGCATTCTAGTTTCCTCACATCTTCGTCAGCATCTTCTAGAATTATTTTGAGAAAGAAATGAAATAATACAAAAATATGCCATATAGAATGCAAACTTTATTGTTACATACTGTGATAACAGTATTAGAAATTGGACAGTGTCTTGCATTTCAGTGGTTTTGAACAGAAAGGAAGATGGAATACTTTATAAAATGTATAATTTTTATTACTGGTGAAGGCAATTTACGTTTGAACTGTAACACTCTAGGGATTGATGAACCGTTGCACATCAAGAGAAGAAAAGTAATAAAACCAGGTTTCATACACAGTCCATGGAAAAGTGCATACATCAGACAGCACAGAATTGATACTAACTGGAGGCGAGGAGAACTCAAATCTCCTAAGGTAACTGAACTCTGCACAATGTAACAGAAACCATGAATCACTGTTAGTACCTAGTGTACTATTTCACTTCTTGGCAAACTGTATAATTTGACACGTCTCTTCTGTGGAAAGAAAACCATGTATTTTAAAATAACTGAAAGTATTATTGACAATATTCTTTTATTGCTAATTTCTCTAATCTGACAGCTAATCATACTTGAATAAAAGATAAGTTAAATTGGTTATCTTTGTATCTTACATAAATGAAAATCTCTCCATATCCTGTTGAATTTTACTGTGTCATACACATTCTACCTAAGAATTTGCTGCCCACTCTGACCACATAGTCCAAACATGATTTTTTTTTTCTTTTTTTCTTTTCTTCTTCTTTTTTTTTTTTTTTTTTTTTTTGAGACGGAGTTTCACGCTTGTTGCCCAGGCTGGAGTGCAATGGCACCATCTCAGCTCACTACAACCTCCGCCTCCCAGGTTCAAGCAATTCTCCTGCCTCAGCCTCCCGAGCAGCTGGGATTACAGGCATGCACCACCACGCCCGGTTAATTTTGTATTTTTAGTTAGAGACAGGGTTTCTTCAACCAAACATGATTTTTTGAGTAGTGTCCGTCCATGTTTTGGTTTTGGTGGATTTTCTGTGTTTTATAAATTGAAGCATAATTCTGGTTTTCTGTCTTACAACATTTCAAATATGTAAAGAATGAGAAAAACACTTGAAATTATTGGGCATATTTTTACTACTGGAAAAAAACAATTTGGGGAGTCATTGTCATAGTTTTTTTTGTTGTTCTGAGAAGGCCGATAATTGTTATTGGTTAATAGAGGCTTATTTTGTTCTTGTGTGTCAAAATTGTAAGAATTAGAGGCATATTCTATTGGTTTGAACCGATAAAATAGACTATTTTCAAATACCTTGGTGTTTGAACCAGCTTTAGGAGATCTTGATGCAGTAAAATTTTAATAGTTGATGTTTTGAATGTAAATAAGAGAATATGGAAACAATAAAATGTTTAATTCTGGATTTGTCAGCCAGGAAGAATAAAGCTTTATATTTTATATAAATTTTAATTCTAGAGATAGACTACAAATTACTGTTCCTGTTTATGCCTTCATTTTTCTCTTGAACAGTATTTTAAAGAACATAATTTAATTAACATATTTCTGATCTGTGCATCCATCTTACAGGTGCTGAAAGGACACGATGATCATGTGATCACATGCTTACAGTTTTGTGGTAACCGAATAGTTAGTGGTTCTGATGACAACACTTTAAAAGTTTGGTCAGCAGTCACGGGCAAAGTAAGTTTACTCTTCCTACACTTCACAAAGTCATCACTTTGTGCCTGTCATTGCAGGTAGCAACTGGAAAAAAGAAAGCAGTAATTCATTTTTGATTCTCAATTATTTGGATAGCAAATATCAGAGCTTATAACTTAGCTTTTCCCTCCATATTTATGAAAGTCACTGGCATGAGGATAATTATGTTTCTCATGATAGAAGTTTCATTATTTTTTTTTCATTTACATAGTTTATCTTTGTGACAGATACTTTAACATTTTCAAGGGTGCTTTATATTTTTCTTGGCTCAATTTTTTCCTACTTTTATTTACTACCTAAGTTATACCTCATTACTTTGTAATGTTTTTCAAAAGTATGATTGAGGGATATTATTTTTCCTTATAAATTGCTTTGTTGATAACCTTCCTATAGTTTAGAACTTAATATATCATGTTAATTTTGACTTATCTTAAACCTTTGTGAGATGAGAGAGGACTAGGCATTTAAATGTTAAGTTTGAAGAAAAACGTAGCCCAAGCAGTCAGCTTGACTGTGTAACATGTTACACCTTAATGATTCTCCAGTGAATATTCCTATCTGTCCAGTAGAGAATATTTTCATGAATTAAGTAATTGACCACCTAAAAAAATAACAGAAGAGAGTGTGGGAAAAAAAAAAAAAAATCCATGTCTTTTAAAATGTCTTTTACCATGTTGCTTCTTGGCAAGTATCTTATAAATATTCCAAGTCAGATGTTAAAAATTTTTTAAAGCAGCTTTATATTTCCATAGTGTAATATTGGTTTGGGATTTATTTCAGGGTTTTAATGTCTGTCTTTACATGTCTAGAAGTAGCTTCACTGGCTCCTAACTACTACCTTGGGGCTGATTCAGATAAAATGTGGTATGTAGCCACACCCAACACTGTTGGCATACTTCCATTGAATCTACTCCCATGGAAGAAACTCAGTTGCAATTTCAGTATTATTTCATCAAAGAGGCCAGGCCAGAGCTATCATAATTGCTTTCATATCATGTTTCTTTTTTATTATATTATGTTTTATATCATAATGTTTGCTTTCTACATACTTGTTCTTCACTTGCTTGTGCTTATATAAATTTATAATGCTATTGAATAAACAAAACAATAAATAGTAATGGGATCATTTTATATGGATGTGTAAAAAAATATTTTCTGACGAGCCAAACAAATTGAATAAATAACTTTACTCCAAATTTTAATGAGCTATTAAAATATTATTTAAATTGCTTTTCCTTTCTACCCAAAAGTAATCATCTTAAGTGTTTTCCCAGTGTCTGAGAACATTAGTGGGACATACAGGTGGAGTATGGTCATCACAAATGAGAGACAACATCATCATTAGTGGATCTACAGATCGGACTCTCAAAGTGTGGAATGCAGAGACTGGAGAATGTATACACACCTTATATGGGCATACTTCCACTGTGCGTTGTATGCATCTTCATGAAAAAAGGTAAGGGAAAATCTCATCGTGGCTGGGACTTCTTCTGTTATTTGTGAATTTGGGCCCTTTCTGTGTAGAGTTACTGAAATAGTGACAGTATGCTCTTGAATTAGACTTTATTAAACTTCAGATGTTTCTATTCTAGGAAAGCCATAGTGTTTTGTCTTAAAATTGGGGATTGTCTGTAAGTTTCCTTTCTCATTTGCTAGTGTTTTCGGCTTCCTCTTTGAAACTCTCTAATCCTTTTTATTGTTCTGTGTCTTTGATGACTCATCATCTTCAAGCAGGTATCATTTTTTCTCTCTCTCTTTTTGATATTCTTATTTCTGCAAGTGGGACAAATTCAGGTTTCAAACATCTGAACCTTTCTTAATTACCTACCCACCTTACACCCACCCCATCATAGCCTCTAGCTCTAGGCAAATGCTGAGGCCTGTGGGTAATTTGTTCTCTCGTTCTGAACTATTATCACAGCTTTCTAACTTGGTCAACTTATGTTTTACACAGCTGACATACGGTCCTTTTATAATTATGATAGTCTCGCTGCCTGGTTCTTAAGTCTTTGTGAGCCTACTGTTGACTAATGAATTAAGGAAAAAATTCTCAATCCAGTTTTCAAATGGTTTCAGTCAGACTGGACTGCTTGACTTTTTCTTCTCAGTGCCTTTGCTGTTGCTTTTATCTCCTCCTGTAAAGCCCTCCTATTGAAATCATATCTTTTTATTATCTTCGTCATACCCCTGTTAAATGAGTATGATTTCTCCCTAATTTGTCAAAAAGGTCTCTCTGAAAGGTCCTTACAGTGAATCTATGGCAGTCTTTACCTTTAATTCTGTCTATAGCATCTTCTTCATTAAGAATCATTACACTAAGCAGATTTTACACCAGATTTATAATACGTGAAAAAGAGTACCTTTTCAATTGTCATTTACATCTACTTTGAACAGTGTGCCATATTGTTAAAATTTGGGGGATGAGTATCAAGAGACCTTGCATTCCAGTTTCCATTATGTTCTGAGTTAAATCTCTCAACCCTTTAATTTTCTACTGTTTCAAATATGGAAACTGTGGTATGTCGTTATCTCTTAAGAATGACATAAAGACATATGAGTTTTCAGCTTTGTTTTGTAATCCAGAAATGATTGAAGTATTAGTATATTGCTCTAGTTTTCAGAAGAGCTAATGTTGAACCAAATGTTTAAAGAATAGCCATTGTTTTTAAAGGTATGCATATCTTTTAAAATCTGTACCTCTTAATATCCTTATAGACTATTGCATATTTATAAATGTAATCATTAGAAGCATAAGCAGCTTGTGTTTGAGGACATGTCTAAAACTGGTTAATTTCTACTAGAATATATACCGTAAACACAAATCTGTAGCTGTTTAAATTCCAAATTCTAACTTGTTTTGTCTTATAATCTTTATTGAATTTTTTACCTAATCACAAGGGAGTAAATGCATTCATAATAGAAATTTTGGAAAATGGCAAAGCACATAAAGAAGAGAATTTAAATTATTTAAACTATTGCCACCTGGAGTTCTCCCATTTACATTTTATACATATGCCCACATTATCATTTTATTTCTAAAATCAAGATCTTATTGTACATATTTAGAGGCAGCTGCTGCTGCTTTTTAAAAAATATGGTACAGTGGCTTTCAAACTCTGTCCCACAGAATCTTCCATTATGGAACTAAGGCCCACAGGTCAGGGACAAGCATGCAGCATTCTAGGCTTCCCAACTTCCCATCCCATACTGTATGTTTATATACCAAGGTTTTATATAGGATTTCTTTTGATAACAGTTGTTCCTGTGTAAGAAGAAAAAGCTAAGAAACCCTGACTTCATCTATCATGTTTTCTCATATTAAAAATTCTAAATGTGTTTTTTTTTCTTCTGTTTTTTCCTCTGCAGAGTTGTTAGCGGTTCTCGAGATGCCACTCTTAGGGTTTGGGATATTGAAACAGGCCAGTGTTTACATGTTTTGATGGGTCATGTTGCAGCAGTCCGCTGTGTTCAATATGATGGCAGGAGGGTTGTTAGTGGAGCATATGATTTTATGGTAAAGGTGTGGGATCCAGAGACTGAAACCTGTCTACACACGTTGCAGGGGCATACTAATAGAGTCTATTCATTACAGGTAAGAGGTCTTTATCTCTCTCTTAGATGCTCTCCTGATGAATCATAAGGTTGTTTTACCCAGATAATAACTGTCAAATTGCTGATCCACTATAGTCCAAAAAAGATTAATCGGATTATTCTGCTGTTTATATACACTTTAAAATTGGCATGAAGAAAGTATAAATTTCAAAATTATTTAAATGCTTTCAACTTTCTGTGATCTATTTTCCCTGTGAAATACAAATATTTGTCTTGCATCCTGACACTTTGGGACTCTTAAGTTTTGCTATGTTAATTAATGGCTAAATAGTCTCATAGGAGAGTAACCTGGATTTTAAGAAACTCCTTTGCCAGAGGATTAATATGGCCAAAACTGCCCCTTTGCTTTGATAGCTAAAAGTTGATGGACCATGTAATTGTGATTCCATCCCCGTTCAGAGTGGAAATAGATCCTTTCTGCGTAAAGCATTCTACTATCCCGGGGCACTGATTTCTAGTCATAAAGAAGTAAAGTTGACTAAGCTGATTTTTTTTTTTTTTGGTTTACATTCCAAGCCAGTATCCTTAAAAACATTGCCATATTTTGAGATCGTTAACTAGATAATAGAAGGTTTAGAATATGAATCTTGTTTTATTTCCAGAAAGACAACATTTTCAATTTTAAAATATTTTCTATAGTTTATATAGTTTATTTGCCAGTTACTGCCCATTAATAGTGTTCAGTAAATTAGTACATAATCTTAGTACTAACAGTTCTGTTCTTAGGATATTTGTTTCTTTGTCAAAGGGATGTTGTCCATGTCATGAAATACTGGCAATATGATAAAGATGTTTGCTAAATTAGAAAAGGTGCTGAATTTGGTGGAAGGGGAATTGGCTGCAACTGTTTGTATATTTTGTGATATGCTCAGAAGCCTAATCAATATAATATTCTAATTTAAATAAACTCTTTGGTTGAGAAAAGAGGTAGCCACATTATTATATAGAAATGATAGATTGTTATTGGCTTTTGGTGTAGCTGGGAAGCTGGAGAAGAGGTAGTTTGTAGTGTGCTTTTGATATCAAAATGCCACTTCTTCTGATTCCAGATATAATTATCTTTTGGCACATTTCCTAATTAGCATTAGGTTCTTATAAGTGAAATTTTATTTTACACACAGTTTTTAATGGAACTTACTTTTGAACATCACAAAAGTTATCTCTAGCCTTTTTCATGCCTTAGGTGCTAATAAGCACTCCATTTATCATAAGCTATGTCATTAGTTTCAACTTGCTAGTGGGAAGTAAAACCCAAATAACAATTCTCTCAGTCATCCATGGTGTATAGCTAAGTGGGGACAGATGATTTGAAAATTAATATATTGTTTGTTTTAGGTGCTTTGTTTTCATTTTAAGTTGTTTCTGCATCTAGTTTGAAGCTGCTGGGTATAAAGATGAGCATTTCTGATAGAAGTTTCTGAGAACATACATTGTAGAGTTGTGTGATGACATGCATTTTATTCTGATTGCGTTTATCCTAGCACCTCATTTTGTTCCTGGCATTACCTGTTTCCCATGCTCTTCCCCCATTCCTACTAGGATTAAGGTCAGTAATTAATAGGAAAAGTATCCTTACTTCTCTTCTAATAAACTGTGTCTGTTGTAGTTTGATGGTATCCATGTGGTCAGTGGATCTCTTGATACATCAATCCGAGTTTGGGATGTGGAGACAGGGAATTGCATTCACACGTTAACAGGGCATCAGTCGTTAACAAGTGGAATGGAACTCAAAGACAATATTCTTGTCTCTGGGAATGCAGATTCTACAGTTAAAATCTGGGATATCAAAACAGGACAGTGTTTACAAACGTTGCAAGGTAAGTATTGGATACTCACTTTTAGTTTTGTTCATTAAAAATGAAATTGTTATTCAAGGGAAATATGGAGCTTTAGCATTACAAAAATAGCCAATCTCGTACAGAATGCTTACTTCAGAAAAGTTTGTGAATATTTTTACCCTGACTTAACAGAACTAGTCCACTCTTGAGGAGATGTTTTAAACTGTGTTTTTAATATGTAATATAAAATTGTTTAATCACTTCCTGCATGTTCAGTTGACTCTACTTAACCTTAAAGAACAGTGAAAAGAAAGATCTTGGCTATATCATAGAAGCAACTTACTCATTATAATTTTTGATTGACCATTGCATTCTTAATTTGTCCAATTTTAAAGGGCCACCTTATTGAAAAAAACAAAAGCATCCCTGATAGAAAATTGTTTTGGTCTCCCATTTAGTCACGTGCTTACCTGGAATGGAGAGGTATAATAGTACCTACTAATTTAGAGAAAGAGACAAGTGAAAATCACTAATATTAGATGAGGTAAACAGTGCCTCATGATCAACTTTCTCTATTTGGTGCAGCCCTTAGAAAGTGTTTGTTTTTTTTGGTGTGGCCATCTGATAGGCAACATTGCAGCTTTTTATTTATTGGTTTTGTCTCGCCTCAGAGTTTTGGAATAGTGTCCATTCAGCTTTGACTGGTTCATAGTGGTGAGGGTAATAGATCTCTAGGTGCTCATTTGTCCATCAGCAGAAAGCGTAAAGTTGTACTATCTACATCCTCACCAAGGAATGCTCTCTTTGACACAGCCAAAAATAAGATGTTTGTCTGGTAGCTAACCAAGCTTCTTGGACGACAGACCTCTTGAAAGCTAATGTTCCAGTTACAAATCACTACCAGATTTTCTTATATCCATGCTGATCCTAAAATACTGAGGACATAGGTTTCTAAATAAGTATCACTTCAAATGTTGCATTTATTGTATGTTCTAAAGTAGAAGTCTACAAATTATAATGTAACTAACCCATAGCCATTATTTCTAACCAGTAATTAAATTCTTTTGGTTTTTTTCTAGGTCCCAACAAGCATCAGAGTGCTGTGACCTGTTTACAGTTCAACAAGAACTTTGTAATTACCAGCTCAGATGATGGAACTGTAAAACTATGGGACTTGAAAACGGGTGAATTTATTCGAAACCTAGTCACATTGGAGAGTGGGGGGAGTGGGGGAGTTGTGTGGCGGATCAGAGCCTCAAACACAAAGCTGGTGTGTGCAGTTGGGAGTCGGAATGGGACTGAAGAAACCAAGCTGCTGGTGCTGGACTTTGATGTGGACATGAAGTGAAGAGCAGAAAAGATGAATTTGTCCAATTGTGTAGACAATATACTCCCTGCCCTTCCCCCTGCAAAAAAGAAAAAAAGAAAAGAAAAAGAAAAAAATCCCTTGTTCTCAGTGGTGCAGGATGTTGGCTTGGGGCAACAGATTGAAAAGACCTACAGACTAAGAAGGAAAAGAAGAAGAGATGACAAACCATAACTGACAAGAGAGGCGTCTGCTGTCTCATCACATAAAAGGCTTCACTTTTGACTGAGGGCAGCTTTGCAAAATGAGACTTTCTAAATCAAACCAGGTGCAATTATTTCTTTATTTTCTTCTCCAGTGGTCATTGGGCAGTGTTAATACTGAAACATCATTACAGATTCTGCTAGCCTGTTCTTTTACCACTGACACCTAGAAAGGAACTGCAATAACATCAAAACATGTACTGGTTGACTTTCTAATTAGAGAGCATCTGCAACAAAAAGTCATTTTTCTGGAGTGGAAAAGCTTAAAAAAATTACTGTGAATTGTTTCTGTACAGTTATCATGAAAAGCTTTTTTTTTTTTTTTTTTTTTTTTGCCAACCATTGCCAATGTCAATCAATCACAGTATTAGCCTCTGTTAATCTATTTACTGTTGCTTCCATATACATTCTTCAATGCATATGTTGCTCAAAGGTGGCAAGTTGTCCTGGGTTCTGTGAGTCCTGAGATGGATTTAATTCTTGATGCTGGTGCTAGAAGTAGGTCTTCAAATATGGGATTGTTGTCCCACCCCTGTACTGTACTCCCAGTGGCCAAACTTATTTATGCTGCTAAATGAAAGAAAGAAAAAAGCAAATTATTTTTTTTTTATTTTTTTTCTGCTGTGACGTTTTAGTCCCAGACTGAATTCCAAATTTGCTCTAGTTTGGTTACGGAAAAAAGACTTTTTGCCACTGAAACTTGAGCCATCTGTGCCTCTAAGAGGCTGAGAATGGAAGAGTTTCAGATAATAAAGAGTGAAGTTTGCCTGCAAGTAAAGAATTGAGAGTGTGTGCAAAGCTTATTTTCTTTTATCTGGGCAAAAATTAAAACACATTCCTTGGAACAGAGCTATTACTTGCCTGTTCTGTGGAGAAACTTTTCTTTTTGAGGGCTGTGGTGAATGGATGAACGTACATCGTAAAACTGACAAAATATTTTAAAAATATATAAAACACAAAATTAAAAAGTTGCTGGTCAGTCTTAGTGTTTTACAGTATTTGGGAAAACAACTGTTACAGTTTTATTGCTCTGAGTAACTGACAAAGCAGAAACTATTCAGTTTTTATGGTAAAGGCGTCACATGCAAACAAACAAAATGAATGAAAAAGTCAGATGGTTTGCCTCATTCTCCAAGAGCCACAACTCAAGCTGAACTGTGAAAGTGGTTTAACACTGTATCCTAGGTGATCTTTTTTTCCTCCTTCTGTTTATTTTTTTTTTGTTTGTTTTATTTATAGTCTGATTTAAAACAATCAGATTCAAGTTGGTTAATTTTAGTTATGTAACAACCTGACATGATGGAGGAAAACAACCTTTAAAGGGATTGTGTCTATGGTTTGATTCACTTAGAAATTTTATTTTCTTATAACTTAAGTGCAATAAAATGTGTTTTTTCATGTTAGTATGTCTGTTTCTTCCATTGAAGTAATAATACTTCATTATAAGTATTTACGATTTGTCTATAATATTTAAATCAGCAAAGTCTTGGTTTCTTTGCCTCTCCTGCTGTGTGACATAGAAATCAATACTTCAAGCCTATTTTATACAGGAAAGTAAGGATAATGTGCTGCAACTGCAAATTTTATTTCTCTCCTAGACTACAAAGGAGGACACTCCACTGTGCTCATCTCTGTAGATTGCATAGATGAGCAATCTACACTCATTAGAGATATAAATATGAAGTCTGGTTCCCTCAAAGAATCACAAAACTTTTGTGATAATTACAACTAGAAGGCTTATAAGTAACAAATGCATTTCGAAATTTTGACCACATTTTAAGTGCTTACCCTAAATACTTTCTGTTCATTCTCTCTCAAGCTCCCACTATCCCTGAGAAGTAGGCACTATTATCTCCCATTTTATGGACGAGCAAAAATCTGCAGCTGAGACTGGTTAGGCAATTTGTCACATCATCTAACTAGCAAAACGCCAGGAGTCAAACCCATATTTCCAAAGACTAAGTAAATACATGTCGTCTTTTAAGAAAGTTTGACAGACTAAAGCAAGGTTTGAGAGGGAAATAAGCCATTTTTCTGGTATTTTCTGACTCTTCTGTAGCCATTTTGTTCAACAAATCTAGTATTTTATAATGTAAGGGGAAAAATAAAGTTTTTGAAACTATGTAGTTCTAAATATATTTAATATCTCAAATAGCAGGAGATATATATATATATATATATATATGTATACTCAACTAACCAGGCCACAGATGAAAATCTAAAAGTTACTAAAAATGGACTTCTTTCTCATAGTCATAAAGTATGTGTTCTTTACTCATAGGGCAAGTCCTGGGCCTCATTCTCCCAAAGCTACTAAATCAGAACATCTGGGAGTGTGACCCAAGAACCTGCATTTAAACTAGCTCACCAGGTGAGTTGTGGATACTAAAGTTTCAGAGCCACTGCTTTAGATACCATTTCTGTACATTTGGTTATTTGATTAATAAGTTAAATAGTAAGTCCACAGCAAATTACAGATACAAAAATAATAAGGGAAAGTGACAGGGTAAAGGAAAAAAAAAAAAAAAAAACTACCTCGTTAAATGCAAGGCAAAAATCCTACTAGGCCATGAAGTGCAGGGTCTTTAGAATAAACCAGGTTACAGCCCAAACCGTGACTACTGTTCACTTTGATGACTGTGAATTGTCAAGAAAAAGTTGTAATTCTTTTGATACTTCTTGAAACTGCTTGATTTTTCATAAAAGCATGTAAATGAGATTTAACTATATAATATAATTGAAGAGAAACAGCCATTTTTAGAACTTCAGTGAATAGAATGAGTTCACAGGCTTTGCAGACAAATAGGCCTGAATTCATATCTCAGTTCTAATATGGCCTAGTTAGTGGGACCTTTATCACATTTCTTGAACTCACATTTCCTCATTTAATATGTAGAGGATACCCGTCTCCGAAGGTTATTATAAAAAGATAAAGTGAAACGTTGCAAAGCACATAGCATACTGATGGCATTTAGACCTCAGTAAATGGTAGCTTCTATTAAATTTTTTAAGTAAATAGACCCAGATAACTTTCTGTATTTGAGAATTGAATGTATTTGTGACTCATTCAGATTATGTAAAAAAAAATTGTGTGTGTGTGTGTGTGTGTGTGTGTGTGCGCGCGCGCGCGCGCACGCACGCACACGCGCACACACACACAGCAATCCATTAAGTGGAGCCACCTAGATTCTCATTCGAGTCTTACAGAAACCTTGTGAGATCAACTGATATTGAGCACCTAACAGTGATTTTGTATATACAGTCATCCCTCAGTATCTGGGGGAGATTGGTTTTAGGATCCCCCCACCCCACCCTCATGGATATCAAAGTTCATGGATGCTCAAGTCACTAATAGAAAATGGCATAGTATTTCCATGTAACATATGCAAATCTTCCCGTATACTTTAAGTCATCTCTAGATTACTCATAATACCTAAGACAATGTAAATACTATGTGAATAGTTATTGTACTGTTTTGTTTAGGGAATCATGACAAGGGAAAAAGTCTACGTGTTCAATACAGACACAACCATCCTTTTTTTTTCAAATATTTTTGATTCTCGTTTGGTTGAATTCATGGATGCAGAACCCACAAATAATGGAGGGATGACTGTATTTAGGTGTTAATTAAATATCATTTTATGAATAAATGAATAATCTTTATTATGATAGATCTTTTCTTGAAAATGTTAGCATCATTCTAGAATCAAAATTATAGTAGTAAAAAAAAAGGTCACCAAGAGAACTCCATTTTTTGGCCTTCTTAATGAAAAAATGGATCACATTATATAACTGTACATTTTCAAATCTTCATAACAGATATAAGTACTCTTCATATTTAGATGTTACAAGTTCCCAAATATCAAACATTGCCTGAAACTAAGGCTGAAATTAGGACACAAAAGTAACACATTAAAGCCAGTAGCAGGTATTTAGTATACTTCTTGAATTGAGCAGAGAGTTGATTATCTCATTATTTTTTATTAGAATTGTTTATAATTTTGACACTTTGAAACCCCCTTACTGAGATTCAATTACCACAGCTATTTCATTAGTTTGCAACAGCTAATGCCTACCAAATGGTTAAGTAAATGTTTCAGCCAACCTTATTTGTTTCATTTCAAAAAAGTAATTGACATTTAGTTATTTGTATTAACTGCTTTAAGCCATTTTCTTTACCCGCTTTGAGCTAGCCTGTTTTAAACTCTTCTATTTCCCTGAATTGATTAGAGGCTACAAAAGACCACTGTGCTTTTCTCTCCCCTAAAGTGACATGGGGATCAAGGGCAGCTTTCCCAGACCCAGCTGAGCCCTGGTTTTCTGTACACTTCTCCCTGAGATATGCACTGAACACTGAAACAAAGTTACGTAAGTGGAGAAGAGAAGACATCTCAGAGGCGCCTACCCCACTGTCCTTGCCCCTGTAACTCCCTCTATTCCATGTTGAAACCAGAAACATGGAACTCCATTGCTTACATTTTTTCTGGTTGGCTCCCTCCGGGAGAAGGAAAGTTTTTGAAATGTTTCACCCCAATCAGTACCCCCTCAGACACAGCTTCGTTTTCATTCTTTGAGTCATCCCCTGCCCCAATAAAAATCAGAATTGTAATGATACTCCCTCAGGTTCATCAGCCAATAAAGGATCCAGCCTTGTCCCTTACAGCAATTGTAAGAGAACCTCCTATTTTGCAGTGCAATTTGTAATTCTAATAATAGAAGTGGCTTAGGTTTGCTGATGAATGGATTTGAATAAATGCTTCTGACATAGATTTTTTTAATGTTCCCTGCCTTACTACATTTTGAAGATGGCTTTTGTTTGTGTGTGTATGTGTATACACATACATACACAAGAATATATTGGAAACTGAGAATAAGCCTCTTGTTCTTAATTGAGTCATACCATTATTCCCTTTGGCCTCTTTTTTTTCACCTATCAAAAGTAAGGAATAGGCCATAAAGAGAAAGGGTTGGTGGCCGAGAGGAGACTTCCTAATGTTCCTCTCCATGATAGATTAGTGGCCTCTGTGTCTGAAGAGAGTGGCATGTGTGTGTATGCATAATGTTCCTGGAGTCTTGCATCTAGCAACCATATGGTAATTTGAAAAGTTGATGCATAATTTTTGATTTGGGCATTTCCTGCTGCCCAGGAGATGGATATGAAGTTAGATCCAAGCTGCACCCAGCTCCTTTTCTGGGGAGTGCCTAGTCATTGCTTTGAATTGCAAACAAACATAGCAAGATCTGGCGTTGTTGACTAACCAACATGTCTCATCCATTCAGTTAATACTAGTGATGCCCAAATGAGTGAGGTTCTTGCCAACTTTGTCCCCTGCCACCTTCTCTTTCTAGGTTGAATGAGACAAAAAATTTCAAGATTCTTCAGGGAAAGGAAAAGCACCAAAAGCTGAAAGGATTCAGAATGCACCTTTCTCCAGAGCGTGAAGTATAAACAAATTCTAGATCCAGTTCCTAGGATTGCTGAGATGAAAAACCTGGCGACTTCCCAATTTGCAGTTGGGTATAAAAATAGCAGAGTTTCTATTTCAGATGATCTGATTCTCCCTAGGATTCTTAAGGACAAGAAGCCACTGAGTGGACATTTTGATGTTTCATTCTTTCCTTTGGATGATCTATGATGGCAAAACCTATGAAGGCCGTTTGGATTCTATTTTGCTTCAGCAGCCATGCTCTGCAAGTAAAATTATTTTGAAACCACTTGCAAATCAAAGATTCAAATGTAATAGACCACAAAAATATATTACCAGTTTACCCTTTTCCATGAGGTTCATTGATTATAAAAAAAAACATTAAACCCCACTACTCACCTAGAGGGGAAGGTTATTTGCAAGGCTTTTTAAAACGTTGCACCCACTAAGAATTCATCAGACCCTTTCTCCTTACTAAATGTAGTTAGAAAAACTACAAGTCTTTCAATTTGAGTATGCTCTCCACTCCTTTAAAGGGAATTTGAGTAGCTTAAATACATCCAGCAAGAACACAGTATGGTATAGAGATAAAGAGCAAAACCACATATATCTCTGGTCAGGGTTGGATCTGGGTTTTCGGAGCCTGAAGCTTAACCATACAATTAGATCCAAAAATAAACATTTGGAATGAGAAAGATGATAAATTACAGAAGTCTAGGAAATGCAGATACCTTTTCTTTCGGTATCTTTTTTTTCAGAGCCTTGCTCTGGGGCCCAGGCTGGAGTGTAGTGATGCAGTCTTGGCTAACTACAGCTTCTACGTCCTGGGGTCAAGCTATTCTCCTGCATCAGCCTCCTGAGTAGCTGGGATTACAGGTGTGAACCACCAAGCCCGGCTAATTTTTCGTATGTTAGTGCAGATGGGACCTCACTATGTTGTCCCCAGGGTGGCCTCGAACTGAGCTCAGACTCAGGTA